GCAGTGTGTGCCTCTCCATTCTTCCTTTATACTATGGGTCCTTGGTTTCCAAATGAGATGCAAAAGTTGCTCTCATCAGAAAAGAGGACTTTGGACCACTGAGCAACAGACCAGGTCTGTTTTTCTTTAGCCCAGGTAAGACGCTTCTGACGTTGTTTGTTGTTCAGGAGGAATACAACAATTGAAGCCCATGTCCAGGATCCATCTGTGTGTGGTGGCTCTTGATGCACTGACTCCAGCCTCAGTCCACTCCTTGTGAAATTCCCCAACACTTTTGAATGGCCTTTTCCTGACAATCCTCTCCAGGCTGCGGTCATCCCTGCTGCTTGTGCACCTTTTTCTTCCACACTTTACCCTTCCACATAACTTTCTATTAATGTGCTTTGATACAGCACTTTGGGAACATCCAACTTCTTTTGCAATTACCTTTTGAGGCTTTTCCCTCCTCATGGAGGGTGTCAGTGATGGTTTTTTTTCTGCACAACTGTCAGGTCAGCAGTCTTTCCCATGATTGTGATTCCTACTTAACCAGACTGAGAGACCATTTAAAGGCTCAGGAACCCTTTGCAGGTGTTAAGGCTTAATTAACTGATTAGAGTGGGACACGTTGAGCCTAGAATATTGCACCTTTTAACATTATTCTAATTTTCTGAGATTGTGGATTTGGGGTTTTCATGAGCTGTAAGCCATAATCATCACAATTATGACAAATCACGGCTTGAACTATCTTGCTTTGCATGCAATGAGTCTATCTCATATATTAGTTTCACCGTTTAAGTTGCATTACTGAAATAAATGAACTTTTGCACAATATTCTAATTTTTTCGAGTTTCACCTGTATAGCACTATTGTTGCTTTCATATATACACACCTGACACATGCATTTACGTATGTTTGTGTTTGTATGTGGGGCCAGGGGGCTTTTAATATACTTTTATTAAACTTTCAATCTATACTTTTTAAAACTTTTTTTATTAACTTTAGTGTTAGCATATTGCTATTAACAGGTTCTTTTGATGAAGACAACAGGGATTTATTAGACCCCCAATATCAACCATTGAACTCCAATGAAGCGCTATCAAGCATAGATCTTACTTAGATCTTAGAGCTTACTTAGTTTTATTCCCAGCCAGCAGTGTCAGAAAATGACTGAAACCGAAAGTAATGTAGAACATGTTGCATCAAGGCTTATTCACCAAAGGATTAGAGAATGGATGTTCACTGAGCTCCCTCCGGTCTACCCAGCGGCACCCTACATGGCTGTCCCAGGCCCACAGGTAGGACACAAGAGCCCATGATACATGATGAGGAGGGTCGTACAGGGGGCTGGTATGTTCCAGTGACTGTGGAAGTGATTAGCTTTACATCAGAAAGACAACAGTTGGCTTGACAAGTGCACACCAAGAGGGTGTGTAAAAGCTACTGCTGCCACTAAATGACGCCTTATATCCATGGCAGTAAAAGGTTTAAGGTTTTTAATTTTTAGTTTTGGAGTAGATAAGGATTAGAACCCTTGTTAGGTTTGACTGCTATAAATATAAAGTGCAGCATCTAAAATAAATATACAGTACTAAAAGTGCTAAAACTTCAAATACGGTTTAAACTCTTAAATACATAAAATGTACAATCCGTCAAAATGAATAAATAAAGTGCAATTCATCAACTAAATAATGTGAAATTGATTCATCTGCATATAAATAATAATAAAAAGTTCCACCAGTTCATAAAAAGTGTATATAAGACTTCACCCGCTACTACATGGACCAATGGACAATTTTGTGTTATCCACTTTGTGCAGAAAACCGTTATCAGCACTCTGAGCTCACCAGAGGATATGGCTGCATCAAATATGGCAGCAGAAGCATTTTGTTACATAACCCATGCAGGCTCCACTTTTCACCAGATATCGATCCCTTTAAGGCAATAACCCACTGACTTTGACACCACCATCCAGCACAAAAATGCAGATACCTCGGCTGTATGGAGGAATAGCTCACACATGGAGCCAGTCAAACCTCTCATGGTGTAGTAGTTTATTAAAAAATGTAATCCAGCATAACGTATGTAAATGGAAATGAAAGTAAAATAGAATGGAATCTGCTGGCACTTGTAAATATGGCCGCCACATACAGTGGTGGTGTGATGTCAGCATACAAAGACTCCACCCAATGCATTTCGTGCTATAGCTCGTTTTTGTCTTCCATCAAACGCTAACTTATTAGTTTTTTACGTTTATGTTTTTTTCTCAATTACTGTGTCAAGGACAATGTTTTACTAGACAGGAAATGAGGAAAAATCTGCACCAGGGAGACGGAAAATAGAAAGCTGACAGGGGTCCTGGCATTTCTCTACTTAACTAAGAAAAAAAAGTGTAATTCTGTCTTTGCTACTGTTGAAACATTTCCTTCCCTTTCTGTCAGAGAAAAGTTTGTCCACAGGACAGTGAGTAAGTTGAAATCCATTTAATGGTGCCCTGGATAGCAGTAAAACCTGACAAAGGCTCTAATCCCTCCCCACACTGTCAACAACTAAAGAAAAAAAATTGGGCATAGATACACTTTAAATAGTGTGACAGGACCATAACATTGAGGACTTACTAAGGGCTTTGGTAGATGGACATTCATGTCTAGCAGTGCGAGGTAATCTTTTCGATTCCCAACCACAGCACTACCTGCCTGGAGTTTGTACCGGTGGTGCAAGTATCATTTTTGCTGGGGAAGATAGCTCAACCACAGGAGCCAGAAAAGCTAATATAGGGTAGCATTTATTGGTTAAATATCGATATGCATGTAATTCATACCATCAGCAATGTAGGCTCTAATGTAGGGTGGAGCCTACATTGCTGATGTCACGCGCCGCCGCCACCAAGGAAGGGAGCGGTGGCCATTTTAGTACCTGTTTTATACCTTACTCCACGTGGATCATTTCTGTACATGCATATCGATATTTAACCAATAAATACTACACTATATTAGCTTTTCTGGCTCCTGTGGTTGAGCTATCTTCCCCAGGATAAAGGATACTTGCACCACCGGTACTTAGAGGATGCTGGATGATTAACCCCTAGGCTGCTTCTCTGTTTCTGCACCCAGATGTGACAGATTGTAACCAATGTGTAATGAACCGCCTGACAGCACCTCTATCAATCCCCTGGCAGAGCCTCCCCAGAGTGCGGAGTCTAAGCACCGGAGCACTTGTTCACCAGGGCCCCTGATGGTGGGAATGGACTTGGAGCGCTCCGCTACCAGGTCGCAGCTGCTAGGTATCTCCAACAGGGGTAGAGGAGTCTGACAGGAGCTCCAGGGGGCTAAGAGTCTGGTGTGAGGGAGCCTAGTGATCCCTGCAGGATGGATGAGCTAAATCAGAGTCATACAGGCCGGGTCGGTAACTAGCGGGTCGGTGAGGTACAAAACGGTAGGCAAAGGATAGTCGGGTCACACGCAGGGTCAATACCAAAAGATCAGATTTAAAGGGGAACATCCAGGAGCAGAGTCAGGCAGGCCAAGGGTCAGGACAGGAGAAGGCAGCAAGGTCAAACAATCCAGATCAAGATTTTTTTTTTTTTTTTTCCCATCAGACTGAATCACAACTACTCAGCAGTAACTGTCAAAAACAAGAACTTAACTGAGCTGTGTTCCTTGCATCATCTAGGACAGTAAAAGGCAAATACAAAAGCTAAAAGACCCCAATTTCTCAGGGAGGCTCCCGCCTCCCCTCCCACCACCTCCTATACCTCCATAACGCATTCGCACCATCCTTTCCCATCCGCTTTCTTTCCACCACTAGCATACAGTACAATTTAGCAAAACACCAGTCAACACAATCCAACAATCCAGATCAAGATTTTTTTTTTTTTTTTTTCCCATCAGACTGAATCACAACTACTCAGCAGTAACTGTCAAAAACAAGAACTTAACTGAGCTGTGTTTCCTTGCATCATCTAGGACAGTAAAAGGCAAATACAAAAGCTAAAAGACCCCAATTTCTCAGGAAGGCTCCCGCCTCCCCTCCCACCACCTCCTATACCTCCATAACGCATTCGCACCATCCTCTCCCATCCGCTTTCTTTCCACCACTAGCATACAGTACAATTTAGCAAAACACCAGTCAACACAATCCAACAATCCAGATCAAGATACTCACAACACAGGTAACAGCATACAAAGACCATTCGGCAACAAGTGTTTGTGCAGAGCTGGTTTAAATAGCCCGCCCTGCACCTGACAGGCGCAGCCTAGGTCCTAGTGCCTGCCTAGTACTGTCAAGACGACGGGTGCGCCTGGGTCCTAGTGCCCTGCCACCTACACGTCTTGGCAGACACCTACGCCTGTGTAGACCCATGCGTCGCGATGGTCCCTGACACAATGCTTGTATAGATCTAATTTCTAGTGAGTGTACACCGATCAGAGGTGGTGGATTCCCTCCAAGGATATGCACATATCTGCACTTTGTTCACATGGATATATTATGTTGTAATCTGCGGACTATTTCTGCTTATTTTCTTTACCGATGAAATTGGAAGGATATATACGGTCATTTATTCACTTTTTACACATATTGCACTGAATATCACTTTGAGTATTTTACACAGATATTTATATGAATTGACAGTTTTATTATATATATATTTATAGCGCTGCACTTTATCCATTTCTTATGTGTATGTATGAATGTGAGTTTAGGGACCTTACATTGTAAGCTCCTTGAAGGCAGGGACTGATGTGAATGTATAATATACAGTATATGCAAAGTGCTGTGTAAATTTGTGGCGCTATATAAGTACCTGAAATAAATGATTACAATACAGAGTTAGATAAGAAAAGGCTGCATCAGACATGCTTTGCATGCAATCAAAATACACCTTAATAGGACCTGCTGTGTCCTAAGAAAAGCAACACAAAGCTGGTCAAACTCTGAAATTTCATCTACACCACTCAATTGGAGTCAAAGCTACAGTTAAAGTGACATCCTAATATAGCACACATATAGTGCAATATTTTTCAGTTTTTTTCAGAAAAATAATTTTTCCTAAACTTCCTTAAAGCTGACTTCACTTCCTTGTTCCTCAGTGTATAGATCAAAGGATTTAACATTGGAGTGATTATAAAATAAAAGACTGTAATAATTTTGTCAATGTCTGCAGAAGACTTTGACCTTGATTTCATATACACAGCCATTGCTGACCCATAAAACATTGTTACAACTATCATGTGTGAGCCACAGGTGGAAAAAGCTTTCTTCTGTCCTGCCACAGAAGTTATCTTTAAGATGTTTAGTATAATTCTTATATAAGACACACATATAAAAGTGACAGGTATAATAAGTATCAGCACACCTACAATAAAAATCACATACTCAACGATCACAATGTCCTCACACCCCAGTGATAAGACTTCTGGAACTTCGCACAGAAAATGATTGATTTCATTTCGTCCACAGAGATTAATATTCAGGGTCAGAATAACATGACACACAGATAGAAGAAAACCACAGATCCACGTACCCAAAGCAATTCTAATACAAACCAACCTGTTTATAACTGTAGTGTAATGCAGTGGATAACAAATAGCTATGTAACGATCGTAAGCCATGACTGCAAGCAGAATGCATTCGCATTCACCCAATGAAAGAGATATGTACATTTGTGTTACACATTCAGCATAAGAAATTGTCTTCTTCTCTGCCAGTAAATCTTTTAACATTCTTGGGACGCTTGTTGTAGAAACACAGATGTCCATGAAGGAAAGGTTAGTAAGAAAAAAATACATAGGTGTCTGAAGACAACTATCTGTAGTGGTTACAGTAATGATGAGGATATTACCAACCAAAATGATGATGTATATGACTAAAAAAGCAACAAAAAGTATAGTTTGTGTCCTTGGGTCACTGGAAAGTCCAAGGAGAACAAACTCTTGCACCAATGTTTCATTTTTTGAAGACATTCTGCTGGGTAGAATAGAAAAGTATTGTTGTGATAAAGACATACAAACAAGTGCCACAAATTATGTGAGTATTCAGAGTGATTATGGTCATTCGGGAGTAACACCAACTATGCAGTAAATAGTGGTAGTCAACTGCTTGAAAGGTAAAATTCATTTTAGTGGATTTTTCCTGGTTTAAGATACACACTACTGTACAAGAGTTTTAGGGGGGTGTGAAAAAATGCTGTAAATTAAAAATACTTTCAGAAGTGTTGATAGTTTATGTTTATTATTTAGCAAAATGGAAAGAAAATGAACAGAAGAAGTGAAATCCAAATCAAGTCAATATTTGGTGTGACCACCCTTTGTCTCAAAACAGCATAAATTCTTCTAGGTACATTTGCACATTGTTTTTTGAAGGAACTCGAGAGGTAGGTTGTTGATGTAGATGTAGGTTTCCTGATATCATTCTGTCTCTTCGTGTCTATCCCAGAAAGACTCTATGATGTTGAGATCAAGACCCTGGGATGGGGGGGCAAACCATCATTTCCAGGACTCCTTGTTCTTTACACTGAAGATAGTTATCAGTGACATTTTCTGTATGTTTGGGGTCTTGTCCAGAAGCAGGATAAATTTGGGGCCACTCAGACACCTCCCTGATGGATAAGAATCTGCCTGTATATATCAGCATTGAGAACATCATTGATCCTGATCAAATCTCCAACTCCAGTTTCAGAAATGCATCCCCAAACTTGCAAGGCACCTCCACCAAGCTTCACTGTTGCCTGCAGACACACATTATTGTAACTCTCTTCAGCCCTTCTGTGAACAAACCGCCTTTTTCTACAGCCAAATATTTCAAATTTTGACTCATCGGTCCTGAGCACCTGCTGCCATTCTTTTACACCCCAGTTTCCATGTTTTCATGCATAGTTGAGTTGCTTAGTATTGTTTCCACATCAGAGGTGAATTTTTGGCATCAATTCTTCTATGAAGAACACTTCTTAAAATATGTACTTTTAAAAGCATTTTTACTTTACAGCATTTCTGCCTAAAACTTTTGCACAGTACTGTATCTCTAGCCAAACTTTTTCTGCCTATATTTCTTTCTTTGACCCTCTTGAATAATTTTCCCCTCACTACTTGTACTGATTCGGAAGTTGTCAACAGATCAGGAAGTGAGAAGAAATCTGCAACATGGAAAGGGACAGTTTTTTTAGCATATTAAGGCCTCATTCACACTGGCATTGACATACCTGTTATTATATGTTTTTACATGCATATATCGATTTTTAATAGTATTTTTCACACTGTGCACTTACCTTTTTTAGGTGCATGTGGAGAAAATAGCAATGCTTGCTTCCAGGGCGAGATTAGATATTTTAAATGTGTTTAAACACATGTGAACTCATGTAAATGCATGAAAATATGTGTAAATGTGCACCAAGGCAAGTACATTTAAACACAGAAGAACTTTGTTTATATAACCCAGATAATTTATCTTGTGTTGAAATAATCTAAACTCAGGAGGTTAATGTGAATGTAGTTATGGGTTGTCTAACCCACCACCAGCTATTTATTGCTTGTGACCCAATTATCTTCACTTCCATTTCTGGTGACAATATTACCACCAAGGAAGGTAAGGATGGGAAATCTCTTCAACCAGAGAGCAAAAAAGACAGCGGTTTTAACCCATTGACCTCTGGAAAGTTTTACCCCCTTCATGACCAGGGCATTTTTTTACTATTCAGCACTGTATTACTTTAACTGGCAATTAGTTATGCAACACAGTAATTAAATTTACATTATTTTTTCACATAAACAGAGCTTTCTTTTGGTGGTATTTGATCACTGCTGGGTTTTTTATTTTTTCCCATTATATAAATTAAAAAAGTAAAAAAAATGTTTTGAAAAATAACAATATCTGCTTTCTATTATAAGACATATCCAAAAAAAAAAATTATAACATCACATTTCTTCATAAATTCAAGTCAAAATGTATTCTGCTACATGTCTTTGGTAAAACAAAATCCCTATAAGTTTATATTTATTAGTTTGTGCGAAAGTTATAGCATCTACAAACTATGATATATATAGTGGAAATTACGCAGCTAGAGATGTATAATGTAATGGCAGTGATCAATGACTTATAGCGGGACTGTGATAGGGTGGCAAGCAATCTGGCGCTAACGGACACTGGCTGAGAGGGTCACTAACTGAAAATGACATTGCTACTGACAATAATACAGTGATCAGTGATAATACTGTACACCAGTGGTCTCCAAATTGCAGCCTGGGGGCTGGATGTGGCCCTTTTCTTGCCTTTATCTGGCCATTGGAGTACTTTTCCTCTTACTGGTACAAGACACTATTGCTCTCAGTGACACCAACAATGGGGCACTATTCCTGCCACTGACACCAGTGACGGGGCACTATTCTTCCCACTAATACCAATGATGGGGCACTATTCTTCCCACTAATACCAATGATGGGGCACGATTTCTCCTACTAATACCAATGATGGGACACCATTCCTTGCACTGATACCAACAATGGGGCATTATTCCTCCCACTGACACCAAAAACGAGGCACTATTCTTCCCACTGACACCAATGATGGGGCAGTATTCCTCCCAATGACACCAAAGATGGGGCCCTTTTCCTCCCCCTAACACCAAAGATGCATTGTTTACTCCCACTGACTCCAAGTCAATTTCTATTCCCAATGGCCACAGTCCTGTCCCCCAAAAGTCTGAACTGGCCCTTTGTTTAGAATGTTTGGAGACCCCTGCTGTACACTGACACTGTACTAATGACAGTAGCTGGGAAGGGAGAAATCTAGGAGAAATTATTTATTTTTTTCAGGTACTTATATATCACCATCAATTTACACAGCGCTTTTACATATATATATATTGTACATTCACATCAGTCCCTAACCGTCAAGGGGTGTACAATCTAAGGTCCCTAACTCACATTCATACAAACAAATACTATGGACAATTTATACAGGATCCAATTAACCTACCTGCATGTCTTTGGAGTGTGGGAGGAAACCAGAGTACCCGGAGGTAACCCACACAGGCAGAACATGCAAACTCCAGGCAGGTGGTGCCGATTAAAACCAACGACCCTAGTACTGGCAGGCAGAAGTGCTAACCACTAAGCCACTGTGCCGCCCAAGTCATGGGGTTCACTTTTTGCCTAATAAGTGTAATGTGTGCTGCTTTTACTTACTAATCTCTGTTCCTACGTACACAGAATTCTGTGTTTTTGTTTTTTTAATCTAATGCTTTCCAGGGTAGAGGAGAGATCTGGGGTCTTAAAGACCCCAAATGTCTCCATAAAGGGAATTTGTCATGCTGTATTGTTATCACAAGGGATGTTTACATTTTTTGGTGATAGCAATAAAAGTGACAAAAAAATAATTAAAGGGACAGTGTGTAAAAATAAAATATTAAAATATATAAATAACCCCCTCCCCCCCCCATGTGTGAATGCATAAATGGGTCACATCGTGAACATTATAGCGGGAGCAATAAGTCTGACACTAGACCGTATTTTGACGCCATTCCGTTGGTGTCTGCAATTTTAAAGCTTGACATGGTATGTATCTAGTTACTTGGCATAACATCATTATATTTTACCAAAATACCAAATAATTGAGTTATATATTGTGTTTTCTTGTATTAAAATTCAGGCAAGCAGATATACTGACAGGAAGTATCAATTAAATACGGCACCATGGTAGTTCATTGAGATTGAGAACTACAAGCCGAAGCCACTAAGGCTGTTGGGACTTGTAGTTCATTCATTCACAAAACTCTGTGAATGAGTGACGTGGCCGTGTGGGTGGAGCCCCACATGGCTGCGCTGTTTTTAAAAAAGGACAGCTTGTACAGGGAACTTCTCCCTGTACTGCTGTCACAGGGTGGGGATCGGGCAGCGGCTGCAGCATTGGGAACATGTTACATGACCACCCTAAAAATGGGTGGCACAAGACGTTAAGAACAGGGTGAATTTTATAATGGTTAATGAGAAGCTAATGACCACGCTGTTAGACACACACACAAAGTATCTGCAGATCTGGCATCCCTGGATTGATGTGGCTCAACCGTCTAGATTTGACCAGGTCCTCCTGTCGATATAAGACTCTCCTGGCGCGATCCCCTGGAGCCCTTTCTTTGTATTTCCTATTCTTGTTTCCCCCTTCTTCGCTTTTCTCTTCTCTTTCTCTTTCTTACCCTTGTGTTTGTCAGTCTTCATGTTACCTGCACTGATTGTGCTACTCCTAGAAAATCATGCCTGTAATGTTTTATATACCTGTCGGACTTTCTCAAGAGTCCTTGGTGTAGAGTTCCGATGTGCGTCCAGTGAGACTCCAAGCTTAGTTTTTCATACCATCTGCATGCGATTTTGGTGATTATCCTTGGTTTTTTGTCTACTGGCTCATTGGTCACTACTTGTTCGCTGTTAACGCAATTTATAAGGTTTCATTCCATTCATTTATATATTGTGTTTGTGTACTCCGTTTCTCTCCGTGTTGACACTTCAGTGCATTTCTTATGTCCCTCATCAGTAGAATTGCACACCTTATTCTTTTGTGTCAATGATCTTGCTTTTGACTGTTTCTTTGTTGTTGTGCTGTCTATAATAAAATTAATTGTAAAAGAAAATGAGTGGCACATGTAACATGTTCCCAAATGTGAACTTATCCTTTAATAGTGCAAAATGTGTTATTGGGTTGCTGCTGTACAATGCATGCGCTCTTTGGAATAAAGCCTCCTGGTGCTCCATTCCTTTTGTGGACTCTCTTTGTGTAATGTACAGTATATCATTTAACCCTAATAATAATAATCTAACACTAATAACTAACACAATAATCTAATAATCATGTAATTCACACAATATGATGATCCTGGAAAATGTGTAAAAAATAAACTTTATATAAGCCTATATAGTTGGCAACTCAATACAGTATATCCAAGCCATCAATCTAGGTGAAAAAGAGAAAAAAGGCCCATGAACCTAGTGCATTACCAAGTCAACACTTATTATTGAAAAAACAATGGTTCTGCCCACAAAAGTCTTTATAAGTGGTGCTTGTAATGGCCTAAAACACCATGGGGGGATTTACTAAAACTGGTGCACACAAAATCCTGTGCAGCTCTGCATAGTAACCAATCAACTTTCAGGTTTTATTGCCACAGCTTAATTGAACAAGCTGAAGTAGTAAGCTGATTAGTTACTATGCACAGCTGCACCAGATTATGTGTACACCAGTTTTAGTAAATCTCCCCCAATATTTCCAGCACACCATTAGTGGCCAACCTACACTGTCTCTGGATATCCAACTGTGTCTTCAGGCCATCCACAAACAAGATACCTGCTACATGCTGGTAAACAGTGGTCATCTTCTTGCTGAGGGAGCAGCAGCATCTTTATGAAGGGAGTAATGTCCAGTTTTGGGTCCTTCCAGAGGTAGCCTCTGAGCAATGAGGTCAATATAACACATAAACCTAATCACCTTAAATTAAATGGTCATCAGATAATATCACATAACCGAACAATTAAATTAGATGTCTAACAAATCAATAAATGTGCCTAAGAACCTAAATAGTTCAACCATTAATAACCAAATATGTAATATTTATTTTATGTTATTAGTAATGAAATTGGTTAACAAAATAAATAAAAAGCCAGTGAATAAACAAAGAAAATAATTAATCAAAAGAACTAAAAAATTCATGAAACAACAAAAAAGTAAAAATCATTTATTTCAACAAGTAACACATAAATAAATCTATACTATAAACTTATTCAGCACTTAAAGTTGACTGGCAGATCAACCTATATGGTTCAAAACAATATAAGTGCAGCGCTACAAACAATGTCCAAGTGACAATTAAAATATAAAAAATATAAACGATCGTCAAATATAAGATTGTTGAAGATGATAAACAGTTCAGTCATGGGGGACTCACAGGGAGTATAAGTGTAATCCAATCCCAGGTATAGATAAATTGCCTGCTTACCAGAAGCGCAATTACAATGCGCATGTACAGATTTCATGTAGCCGGGGTCCCATGTAGGCGCTGCTTTATAGTACCCAGATGGTCCGTCGGTGGTAAGACGATGCTGGCTTGGTCGGATCACACTGCTCCTTGGATCCACACAGAGAACCTATTCATTGTGGTCAGATTTTTGAGCCTTACTGTGGAACCCAACACGCTCACAGGTCAACTAAAAGATTTAGCGCATTCCTGTTGATCTTGCCAGAAATGCAGTGTCCTTGTCATTTTTTGAGACTATACAAAAAGCTTCCCTTGCTATCAACTAGGTGCAGCCTATTTGAGGCTAGCCACACAGGCCTTTGTCTCACCACACAGACAGGTATGATACTCCAAAGTCTATTCAGGCACAGAACTGGCTCCAGGATCCAAGGACACTGCATTTCTGCTGGCAAGATCAACAGGAATGCGCTAAATCTTTTAGTGACCTGTGAGCGTGTTGGGTTCCACAGTAAGGCTCAAAAATCTGACCACAATGAATAGGTGTGTCTGTGTGGATCCAAGGAGCAGTGTGATCCGACCAAGCCAGCATCGTCTTACCACCGACGGACCATCTGGGTACTATAAAGCAGCGCCTACATGGGCCCCGGCTACATGAAATCTGTACATGCGCATTGTAATTGCGCTTCTGGTAAGCAGGCAATTTATCTATTCCTGGGATTGGATTACACTTATACTCCCTGTGAGTCCCCCATCACTGAACTGTTTATCATCTTCAACAATCTTATATTTGACGATCGTTTATATTTAATTGTCACTTGGACATTGTTTGTAGCGCTGCACTTATATTGTTTTGATTTTGGTTGGAAGGGCTTGTAGTTCCTTTTTTTGCATTTTCCGCTCACTGGAGTGCGCTCACTTTTCTTTATTTTACACAACCTATATGGTTAATTAATAAATATTAACAAATAAATATTAACAAGCAGATAAACAAAATTATTTATTAAAAAGGTTATTTTTGTTTACTATACTCATTGCATACCTAATATCTGTAGGTCATAATTTATGTAAACGTATGAGAGAAAGAGTGACATTCTGGTATCTCCCTGATGTATCTGACATTTTAATGTATATACACTATATTGCCAAAAGTATAGGGTGATGCCTGCCTTTACACGCACATGAACTTTAATTTCCAGTCTTAGTCCGTAGTGTTCAATAATGAGTTGGCCAACACTTTGAAGCTATAACAGCCTTCTGGGAAGGCTGTCTACAACGTTTAGGAGTGTGTCTATAGGAATGTTTGACATTCTTTCAGAAGCGCATTTGTGAAGTCAGGCACTGTAGTCGGACGAGAAGGCCTGGCTCGCAGTCTCCACTCTAATTCATCCCAAAGGTGTTCTATTGGGTCAGGACTCTGTGCAGGCCAGTCAAGTTCCTCCACCCTAAACGCGTTTATCCATGTCTTTATGGACCTTGCTTTGTGCACTGGTGCGCTGTCATGTTGGAACAGGAAGGGGCCATTCCCAAACTGTTCCCTCAAAGTTGGGAGCATAAAAAGTCCAAACTGTCTTGGTATGCTGACATCTCAAGAGTTCATTTCACTGGAACTAAGGGGGCAAGCCCAATACCATAAAAAATAGAACCCCACACCATAAACCCCCCTCCACCAAACTTTACACAATGCAGTCAGGCATGTACTGTTCTCCTGGCAACTGCCAAACCCAGACACGTCCATCGGACTGCCAGACTGAAAAGCGTGATTGGTCACTCCAGAGAACACATCTCCACTGCTCTAGAGTCCAAGTTGTAAACTATGGATATAAATTATATTAAATATTTTAAAAGTGCTTTCCACCACTGCATCCGATTATTTTTATTGCACTTGGTGATGTAAGGCTTGGATGCAGCTGATTGCCCATGAAAACCCATTCCATGAAGCTCTCTACGCACTGTTGTTGTGCTAATCTGATCTGAAAGCCACACGAAGTTTGCAGGTCTTTAGCTATTGACTGTGCAGACAGTTGGTGACTTCTGCACACTGTGCTCTTCAGCATGTGCTGACCCCGATCTGTCATTTTATGTGGCTTATTTATTTGTGGCTAATTGCTGTTGTTCCCAGTTGCTTCCATTTTGTTATAATACCACTAACAGTTGGCTGTGGAATATTTATTAGCAAGGAAATTTCACGGATGGACTTATTGCACAGGTGGCAATTGTATCACAGTAAAAACCACGCTTGAATTCACAGAGCTCCTAAAGCGACCCGTTCTTTCACAAATGTTTGTAGAAGCAGTCTGCATGCCTAGGTGCTTGATACTTTACACCTGTGGCCATGGAGGTGATTGGAATTCCTGAATCCAATGATTTGGAGAGGTGTCCCCAATACTTTTCGCAATATATACAAGCACAGGTGGCAACCTATCACAAGTACCACGCTTGAATTCACAGAGCTCCTAAAAGCGACCCATTCTTTCACAAATGGTTTGTAGAAGCAGTCTGCATGCCTAGGTGCTTGATATTTTACACCTGTGGTATGGTCAGGTGATTGGAACACCTTGAATCCAGGAAGATTTGGAGAGGTGTCCCAATATTTTGGCAATAGTAGTGTGTGTGTGTGTGTGTGTGTGTGTGTTGTGTGTGTGCACTGTGTGTGTGTGTGTGTGTTAGTGTGTGTGTGTGTAATACTGTTCAAAAGTTTGGGAAACTTTTTGGGACATTTTAACTCTTTAATAATGGTAATATATATGCTTCAAACCTGCAAGAAGCCTCCACCATGCTTCACTGTTGCCTGCAGACACTCATTCTGCTGTCCAGGCCTTACGTGAACAAACTGCTTATTGTTACAGTCAGATATTTAATGTGATTATTAAAGAATTGTTTTTTTTCTTTAAATAACAAACATACGTACTTACCTGCTCACCCAGGTTCATTACTTCTACAAAACTGATTTTCTTTGATTTAGGGTAACCATGCACATTTTAATTTTCTCTTGTTCAGCCCACAGGATTGTCCCATCCACAGTAGAAATGTGTATGGCGAACCTCAACTGTCTGCTATTGTATTCAGACAGTCTGAATACCATGATGCGCTGCCAAACAGTGACTGCATCTCATAGAAATGCAGTCACTATTTGGCTGGTAATAATGCACTGCAGTAGCTTGGTCAGTCCCATAAGCCATTTTTTGACAAGCTAGGTGGTGAGCTTGCTATGTCCACTTAGGCTTGAATTTTGTCCAATTCTTGAGAAACGCAAGTTGTCTATGGCCATCTTATTTGACTGTGATCATCAACTCCATCTAGTGACCAACAGTATTTTCCTGATTCACTTATTTTTTTTGAGAACACCTGACCTGTAGAAATATTAGCCTAGTAACCGATTCATCAATATACATTCGATTTTGCTGGCCTTTGCATAGAACGAATGTACAGTTTTGCATACATTATTTCACATGTTCCAAATGTCAGAGATAATTTTATCCTGCAGAAACGTTACAAATATATACAGTATATGATATTACCGGCTATATATATATATCATATAAATGATTTCAATAATTATTGGAATGTACTTGCAATACAGCACAAAGAGAACTTTTATTAGAAAAGAAGAAAGGAAATATATACCTTAAGCCTAGCAGAAATTCATAAGGCAAGCTCCCTGTATGGGAACAGAGAGATATGGTTGACTATTATGTGAAAAAAGAATTCCTGATTGTAGGTTGAGATATGTCCAGAGTATTCCATAGAATACTCAGTGCTCTTGTTTTTCGCATCTTATATTAAAATAAAACATGAAGGTGGAATTCTGTAGAAACAGCTAATACTTACCAAGGGAATGATTCCAAAATTACTGACACGGGACTGACACATTTTTTGTTCAAATAGCAAGCATGGTAAATGTCCATTGATCATATGAGTAAAAGTTATCAGCATGTATTCAACTATGGATATAAATTATATTAAAGTATTTTAAAGTGTGCATTCTTGTGAGCTACTATGGTGTATTTAGGAGAGATTGAAGATATAGATGTGGATAAAAAAATTGTTGAGGTAAAAAAATTTGCAATCAAATAAAAGGTTTGAGGCAATCAGAACGATACAATTAAATGTCAATTGGGCAACTTTTGTATTCACTTTTATGAAAACCATAAAAAAAATTAAAGAAACATTTAATTGTATCTATATGCCTCAAAATCATTAGTGTAAATGGAGGTTGAATGCAGGGTAGCAGGATTTATTATGATGGTATATGATGGCTCACTTGGATTTGAATATAATATTTTTTGAACTCCTACCTTAAATAGTAATGTTTAAAGCTATTCAAAAATGTCTAACAATCTCCACAACCTTTCTATTTACGATTTACTTCTTCATAGAAAATTTTATAAAAAAAAAAACAATAGTAAAAATAAGAAATTGCAAGCAGGGCATGTTAATTAGTTAATAACTTAATAATGTTTAAATTTTTAGATAAATTGTACTAATAAAAAAAAAGAGAATACTAAATTATTGAAGAAAGAATGATATTGATATCAATTTAGAAAAAAGAAAGTTTAGAATGCTGAGATAAAAGTTTATAAATAAAATATGAATATCCAAACACACTCAAAAATAATAACACATGAAAAATAATGCATGACAAAGAGGGAGAAATAAATTCACGAAGAGAGTTTGAGATACACATTAATATGTATTCTCCAAAACCAAATAAATAAATAAATCAAACCTAAAAATAAACCTTTTTTTTTAAATAGGTAGAGACCATTAATTGTATTGCCAGCCAATCTTACCGTAAAAATATACTTTTAAGAAATTTTCAAAAGTCTGGTTTTTAAATATATAAACAGATGAAAATATGATTTATTGATTTCAGAAATACAAACAGAACATCACATTGATTACTTCCAATGCAAAAGAATGAGAGAGAGAGAGAGAGAGAGAGAGAGAGAAAGTGGTTGACAGAGAGAGAAAGTGAACGACAGAGAGAGAAAGTGGGCGAGATACAGCAAGAGTGCACTTCGAGAGAGGAAAGAGAAATAGCGAAAGGAAAAAATAGAGATTAAAAACAAGTTTGAATTAGATAAAGGTTGTAGGTGAGACAGAGAGAGTGAGAGAGAAAGAGAGAGAAAGAGAGAGAGAGAGAGAGAGAGGAGTGGGTGAAAGAACAGAAGAAAAAAGAAGGGGATAAGAGAAGAATAAATAGTTTTATAATCAGAGAAGGTAGAGGATAGAGAGACCGCGTGAGTTAAAGAATTTGTGTGTGTTGTGTTTTTATAGACAGAGAATGTGAGCTTTATAAAATAATAGAAATTGGAAGATAAAATCTAGAGCTAATTAACAACAGACAACTCTGCCCTAAACAAAAAAGTGATCAATTATAAAGAAAAAAATTTTTTTGTTTAAATCAAATCATCAAAAAAATTGTAATTGTTATTGATGTCCACTTCAATGCTGTTTTTCTTTGAAACTCAACCTAAAATAAAAAAAAAATACATAAATAAATAAAATAGTAATATAAATGGAAAAAGCATAAAATAGAAGATAAAGAAAATGAAAAGAGGGAGAGATGGAGAGAGCGAGCATGAAGGAGGAGAGCAAGAGCGAGAAAATTGCAGAAAAGCAAGAAAATGAGAGAGAGAGCGAAAGAGAGAAAATGAGAGAGAAAGTGAGAAAAAAAAGAAAAAAGAAAAAGGATAGAGAGAAGGACAGAGAGCGAACGAGAAAGGGAAAGAGCAAGCAGGAGAAAGAAAGAGAAAGAGAGAGAAGAGAGAGTGAGAGAGAGAGAATAGAGAGAGAGAATAGAGAGAGTGAGAATAGAGAGAGAGAATAGAGAGAGCGAGTGACAATAGAGAGCACACAGAGAGAGAGAGAGAGAGAGAGAGAGAGAAGAAGAAAAGAAGGGGAGAAAAGAAAATAAATAGTTTTTATAATCGGAGAAGGTAGAGGAGGAGAGAGACAGCGTGCATTAAAGAATTTCGGTGTGTTGTGTTTTTTAAAATAATAGAAATTGGAAGATAAAATCTAGAGCTAATTAACAAGAGACAACTCTGCCCTAAGTAAATAATTGATCAAAGATAAGGGGGGGAAATATTTTAATTGTTATTGATGTCCACTTCAATTCTGTTTTTCTTTGAAATTCAGCCTAAAATAAAAAAAATAAATAAATAAAATAGTAATATAAATGGAAAAAGAATAAAAGAGAAGATACAGAAAATGAAAGACGGAGAAAAGGAGAGAGAGTGAGCATGAAGGATGAGAGAGAGCGAGAACAAGAAAATGAGAGCAAGTGAGAGCAAGAAAATGAGAGAGAGAAGCGAAGAAAAGGAGAGAGGAGAGAAAAGGAGAGAGAGAGAAAGGAGAGAAAAGAGAGAGAAAGAGAGAGAGAGGAGAGAAGATAGAGTAGAGAAGAGAGAGAGAGAGAAGAGAAGAGAGAGAAGAGCGAGAAGAGAATAAAGAGAAAGAGAAAAAGGGAGTGAGAGAGTGAGAAAAGTAGAGAGAAAAGCCAGAAAAGAAGAGAGAGATAGCGAGAAAAGGAGAAAAAGAGAAGAAGGACAGAAAGCGAACAAGAAAAGGAAAGAGCAAGCGAGAAAAGTAGAGAGAGAGGGAGAGATGAGAGAGAGATGACAGCAAGAAATAAGAGAGCGAGAGCGAGAATAGAGCAAGAGGGAGGGAGAGAGAGAAAGAAAGAGAGAAAGAGAAAAGAAGAGAGAGAGAGAAAAAAAGGAGGGGGAGAGAGAAAGAGGAGAAAGAGAGAAAAGGAGAGAAAAAAAAAAGAAAAAGAGAGAGGAAGAGAGAAGAGAGAGAGAGATAAGGAAGATAGAGAGCGAATAAAGAATAGAGAGGATAGACTAGAAAAGAGAGGAGAGAATAGGATAGAGAGAGAGGAGAAGAGAAATAGAGAGAGAGAGAAAGGAAAAGAGAGGGAGATCGGGAGAGGGGAGCGATAGCGAGGCGAGACAGCGATTGGAGGAGAGAGAGAGAAAATTAAAAGAGAGCGAGAAAAATGAGAGAGAGAAAAAAAAAAGGAGATAGGGAGCAAGAAAAGGAGAGAGAAAGCGAGAGATTGAGATAACTAGATAGCGCAAAAACAGAGGGATAGGAGAGAGAGAGAGAAGGGGAGCGCGAGGTGGAGAGAAGAGAGCACAAGAGGGAAAGAAGAGAGCGCGAGGGGGGGAGAAGAGAGCGCGAGGGAGAGAGAAGAGAGCGCGAGAGGGAGAGGGGAGAGAAGAGAGCGCAAGAGGGAGAGAAGAGAACGTGAGAGGGAGAAAAGAGAGCATGTGAGGGAGAGAAGAGAGAGAGAAGAGAGACTGAGTGAAGGAGAAAGAGAGAGCGCAAAGAAGAAAGAGAGAGAGAGCAATGGAGAGAGAGAAAGAGAGAGATATAGAGAGCAAAGGAGGGCGAGACAGAGCAAAGGAGAGAGAGAGCGAAGGAGAGAGAGCAAAGGAGAGAGAGAGAAGGAGAGAGAGCGAAGCCGAGAGAGTGAAGGAAAGAGAGCAAAGAGAGAGAGAGAAAAAAGAAAGAGGAGAGCGATA